TTGGGGTCAGGGAGCCCCAGGACCTGCAGCAGGTAGAAGTAGTTTTTGGAAGTCCTTCTCTCTGGGAATGCAAGGTCGGCTCTAGTTATCCTTGATCTTGTGTTCTGTAGATCCTTTTCCCTTTTAATCTTTTCCCAGGGAACATTTTAAAAATGCCTTTCTTTCCTTTAAATAGCCTGCACTGAGGATTGCTTATGTGGTTTGCAAGATTCTGATCTTGTCTCTGCCAATTGTCCGTTGGTGAATAGTTTAAAGAGAGAAATTACTGAAAAGCTAAGTCAAAACTGGTTTAAAGTATACAGCTCTCTGGTAGTTAGATTGTCTGAAATTTGAGGTTATAATAAACATACTCTAGAGCTAGTAGAATAAGTATGCTGGCCTGTTCTAATCCTTTGTCTCTACTGCCCTATTTGAGTGCATTTTATGAAGAGACACTGGCTTCTTCTGAACCAGTTCATGATGAAACAAGGCTCCTATTGTAAACTTGATATGACACTCACAGCATCCAGTTGAAAGCAACCTACCTAATAGCTCAGGGTTGTGATCTGGTGCTGGGGCGGATTTTTTTTTTTCTGGGAAGCTAGAGGCAAATTGGACAAGGGATTTGGAAATGAAATGGGGATTTGTGTAAAGTTAGGTGATCTCATCTCTGAGAGATTTCTCTAATGCTTTTTGGGGATATCCAAGCTGAGAAATGGCTTGGCACTAAGGCATCAAAAATTGGGTTAAAATGCTCTTAGTGATGGGTAGGACTTCTTGGCTGGTTTTATTTGGTGTTTGGGGGGGAGGGGGGAGGGAATGAACAGTGCTTAAACTAAGACCATCAGTGTTCTGTTCACTTAATATGGGAGATGGGGTAGATTTTCACATTTATAGACTAACCAAAGTAGGTAGGTAGGGCAGAGGTGGGCAGGATCTTCTGGAAGGCAAGGAAAGGAGAAGAAGAGACCCTAGCCATGTGGATATAGTAGCAGTGGGCAAAGGGGCAGCCAGGTAGAAGCCTACAGGCTGCATGTTAACTTCTCATTAGCCGCATGTGGCTGGTGGGCTGCCAGTTGGATAGCCTTGCTTTAAAGCATAGCAGTCTAAATATGAACAAGAGGTTAGAAACCTTTAGGACGAACACTGTTCCTTCCCCTTCCCTGCACCACCTTCCCCCCCTGCAAATACACAAAAAGAAACCCAGCTTGCTTGCTTTCTTTCTGTCCCTTAAATTATATTTGTTATGGTCAGCTCTGTGCAAAATGGTGGCAATATGGTGGCCTGAAGTTGCTGATGTTTAGGAGGAAGAGTGGGGGATGATAACAGCATTAAGGTTGGCTTTGAAGTTGACATGTTTCTATATAACATCCTCCTTGAAACTGCAACGGGTGTTTTTTGGTGGTGGTGTGAGAAGGAGAGCAAAGTTACCCAAATGACCATAACCTTAATTACATACTTCAGGGTGTGGGTGTGAGTGACTAAGTCTTTATGTAGGCTTTCTTAAGTTTTATAATATGTGGCTTTGAGAAAAATTCAGCAGTGAATATTTAATAAAATCATAGAAAGTTAGGGTTGGAAGGGACCTCAGGAGGTCACCTGGTCCAACCCTCTACTCAAAGCAGGATCAGCCCCCCAGCCCTAACTATATCATCCCAGCCAAGGTTTTGTCTACCTGGGTCTTAACCTCCAAGGATGGAGAGTCTACCATCTCTATAGGTAACCTATTCCAGTGCTTTACTACTCTCGTGAAAGAATTTTTCCTAATATCTAACCTGAACTTCCCTTGTTGCAACTTTAAAACCATTGCTCCTTGTTCTGTCATCTGCCACCACTGAGAACTGTCTAGTTCCATCCTCTTTGTAACCACTCTTCAGGTATTTGAAGGCTGCTATTAAATCCTCTCTGTCTTCTCTTCTGTAGATTAAATAAGCCCAGTTCCCTCAGCCTGTCCTCAGAAGTCATGTGCCCTAGCTCCCTAACCATTTTTGTTGCTCTCCTCTGGACTCTCCAATTTGTCTACATCCTTTCTGTAGTGGGGGTGGGGGGAGCAAAACTGGACACAGTACTCCAGATGTGGCCTCAACAGTGCTGAAGTGAATGGACTAATCACTTCCCTCAATCTGCTGGCTACACTTCTACCAGTGCAGTCCAGTATGCCATTAGCCTTCTTCTCAATAGGGGCACACTGTTGGCTCATATTCAGGTTATTGTCCACTGTAACCCCTAGGTCCTTTTCTGCGGAGTTACTGCTTAGCCAGTCCCTGTACTGGTGCATGGGATTGTTCCATTCCCTAAGTGCAGGACTTTGTACTACTCATTATTGAACTTCATGAGATTTCTTTTTGTCCAATCCTCATTTTCTCTAGGTCTCTCTGAATCCTATCTCTATCCTCCAGCATATCTACTTCTCCTCCCCAGCTTGGAGTCACCTGCAAGCGTACTGAGGGTGCACTTCATCCCATCTTCCGGGTCATTGATAAATATATTGAATAAAACAAGTCCCAGGACTGACCCCTGGGTCACTCTACTTGATACTGCTGCCAACTAGACATCAAGCCACTGATTACTACTCTTTGAGCCCAACAGTCCAGCCAGTTTTCTATCCACATTGCAGTCCATTCATCTGACCTGTACGTCCTTAGCTTGCTTGTGAGAATGTTGTGGGTGACGTATCAAAAGCTTTGCTCAAGTCCAGGTATATTATGGTCACTGTTGTCTCCTCATCTATAGAACCAGTGATCTTATCATAGAACGCAGTCAGGTTGGTCAGACATGACTTGCCCTTGGTGAATCCATGCTGATTGTTCCTAATCTCCTTCTCCTCCAAGTCCTTAGAAATGGATTCCATAGGGATCTGCTCCATGATTTTTCCAGGGAGTGAGGTAAGGCTGACCAGCCTGTAGTTCCTTAGATCCTTTCTTCCCTTCCTTAAAGAATGGCACTATATTTGTCCTTTTTCAGTCCTTTGGGACTTCTCCCAATCACCATGAATTTTCAGAGACAATGGCTAGCAGCTCTGCAATCACATTGGGTGTATTGTGTCTAGCCTCATTGACTTGTACACGTCCAACTTTTCTAAATAGTCCCTAATCTGTTCTTTTGTCATTGTTGGCTGCTCACCTACATCCTCCCCAAACTGTGCTGCCAACTAATTAGTTGATTTTCTCTTTGAAAATCACTATAAATTTTCTTTTTGAAATGACTGCTGTTTTCTCAGCCTTAACAGAAGCTAACATTTTTACTCCCTATTTCAGCTCACGTTTTTCTCATGCTAGGTAAGCCAAATAGTTGTCTTTTAAGTGATTTCTGAATATTTGCCCTCAAAAGTTCACAGAAACTTTGAGTGCTTTATTTGTACTATCTCAAAGCTTATAGCTGATGATGAATCAGCACTTTCATGAACACAAGCTATGAGGTAGCCTTTTTGCTAAGCTTCCTAATTTCAGAAAAGATTTGCAAAGATAAATCATAACTAACATGGCTATTCAGACAAAGGGAATTTCCACGAAAATCTGTGACAACTGTGGGAAAAGCCCAGCTCTAATTGTTAGGCCTTTCATCTTGTGTTTTAGGTGGTCAGAAGTTCTTTGCACTTATGCTTACAAAATCAAAACTGAAATGAAAAGCGAGCTATGGGACTGGAGTATTCTCTGTGGCTTTTCTAGGATTGTTGAAAGTCATGTACTTGGAAGGCATTCTATTGATGGGGGTGAGAGAGGAGAGAGAGTATTCATCTCAATACTGAGTTATTTTAAGTCTGTATATGTTCCTCTTAGCATTCTTCAGAGACTGAGGTAATAAGTAAGCCATATTATCATCTCTGATTTATTCACAGGCTATTAAAAAAAATGACTTCCTTGGACTAATGCACTGAATAATTTCTCTGACTTGATGTGGAGACGACATGCAGAAGTGGTGTATGATGTAGCATAGGTTAGACTCACCGGCTCACTTACACTTGCTGTTGAGTACATATAATGGGATTTCAATCGGTGCAACTGACAACTGGAAGAGAGGGCAAGATAAAGGGATATAGCTGACTTGACCATGGCCAGATAACCCCCATGGCCAAAACAATGACCTTTTATCTTTTTATTGAAAACTAGCAGGGTTACTTTGTCTTGACTGAGAGCTTTGCCATTGTTCCCTGCTGATGTGTGCTCTGCAGAAGCAGTCAGTTTAAAACCTCTTATTTGGTGCAAAATAAAACTGCTAACTGATACTGGCTGCAGGTATTCTACCACAGCAGGTCTAGGGCCCTTCTGTCTTCCTGTCTGCTTCTGGGGTCAAGTTGATGTTGATCCACAGTGTCAGATATGGCATAAATTCAAACTTTTAGAGATGCTTTCTGTTTCTGTCTGGAGACACTGGGGGTTAGGACCAGCTGGGGCCCATGAGTTTCTTTTTTAGATTCAGATGTCTGCAGATGTGGAGCAATGTATTCCTTGAATTCATGCTCCCCATGGCTTTGACCAAGAGTTCGGGGATCTTTGTGACTTGGTTTTAAAACCCTTCCTTTGGGGGCCAGGGAGGGAGGGGGGCGGGGATGTTTCAGATAAAATGTAGCTTAATTCTGTTTCAACGAAGTCTGGACAGTACGTTTGGTAAAAATGCTCACAACTAGTACAAGTGATGGCATAGACCAGTGGTGTTGTGGGCTGCAGATCTTCCTAAAAATCTCACTAGAAAAGGCTCATTCTTGGCAGGTGACTTTGGGTGGGTAGAAGATGGTATATGTCTTCAGCTTTCCATGAGACTTCTATATTAAATCTTCTATCCTGTTTTCTGCCATTTTTATCTGCTTCATGGGTGCCTAGATAACATAAGAAGAATTCTTTATAGTGTTACATATCTCGCTCTCCGAGACCTTTTTAAAATCTATGTATTTAAAAATCTTTAATATATACAAGACTGCTTCATGGTCCACGCTGTTTACTTATAGATATATTGCATGGTGGAAATTTATCACGTGGCGGCAATGCAAAGCTCCTTTGTATTAGTCTTTGTCTCTAACATAGGGCTGCAAAACTCCTGCTCTGAGAAGTTCATTGTAGACTGCTGTCTCGTCACTCGCAGACTCGTACAGAGAGGATGCCCTCTGTTGAAAATAGGTAAAAACATTTATAGTACCTGTCTTTGATTTTGTTTGTGTTGTCAAAGTAATTTCAGGGGAAACCTGTGTGTGTGGGAGTGGGGGTGGGAGGCGGGGGGTGCCTTTGGTGTTATGTTGAACTAACTTAGCTGCTTTCTTTGAGAGTATAAATTCCAAAGAGAGTTAGTCCCCTGGCCATGTGACACAACATAGTGACTTAAAGACTTTTGGCCAGAAAGTTAAACACCAGACAAAGAATCCAAGTGACTATAATTACACTGCTGCAGCTAGAACAAACAAGAAATTCTAAAAAGTAGGAAATCTGTGGTTACTATTACCCAACACTGAACTTTATCATTCTATTTTCACTGCTTCCTGTAAATGAGTAGAAGTCAGTCATGGAGAGCATTTATACATGTGCTCAGAGTGGGGGGCTTTAATTAAAGTGCCTGGAGAGCCACTCTAATCAAATACCTGGAGCGTCATGTGTATCAGTGTCCTCACGCTGAAAAATGGCAGTGGGGGGGTGCTTTAACTAAAGCTCGTTGAATGAGCTTCAGTTAAAGCACCCTCGCCACCATTTTTCAGTGTGGGGAGGCTGATACACATGACATTGGATTCTGCTGGAGCTCGGTAATTACCATGCTCCAGCAGACTTGATTAATCAGTCTGTGCTGTAATTATAGCGCATTGGAGCAGCTTTGATGCACATGTAGTGGTGCCCAGAGAGCTTCATGACATTTCAGGTATGAATGATGTCCAGTGGCAC